GTGAGCTTCTGGAGGGCAGGACCCTTGTCTTTTTCTTCTGTGTATCTCTAGGACCTTACCCAGTGCCTGGCACACAGTAGGCGCCTCATGGATGCTTGTTAATTGCTTCATTGCCTTTTCCTGGGTTTGGCTAAGAGTCCTCTGCCCTTTGTGTTCTGTTTTTCTAAGAACGTATATGACTCCTTCAATGTCTGATGCCCCCTCCTGAAGCCCACACGCTTGATTGACTTTTTGCTGTCCAGGACAGACTAGCACTAAGGTGCCTGCTTGGGCTGCCGGTGATGCTGCTTTTATTCCTGATCTACCCAGACAACCAGCGGCCATGTGGACCTGTTGTTTGGCCCGCCATGGCACCCTTAGACCTCTGGGTCTTCCCATTGGCCCCGCAGCTGACCTTTTTGGACGTGGTATTTGCCCCGGTTAGAAACATGAGCTTTTGCAGAGTTTTTCTTTTGGTGTGCCCAGAGCTTAGCACAGCCATCGTGAGTCCTTGACAAAGGGTTTTTTCATTCATTCCTTCCCTTCTAGAACGTGAGGAGATGGCTCTTTTGTGAGCTTCCTTTTGTGTTCCTCCCATCCTATCCCCTTACTCAGCCTGATGCTCTGTACACAGAAAATGTCTAATGAAGGTTTGCCTTGTCACTTGTCATGACTTCACTAGAATCTGAGGCCTCGTGGGTGGGGGGAAGGGGATGATTCTGGCTTCTCGGAGGCTTTGTACCTCAAGCAAAGCATAGCCTGTGCGCACGTGGCACCGTCTGTTCTGTCTCCTGCAATTGTGATACATTTGCCTTCTGCCTGTGACTGATGAAGGCGTGGCATCTACTTCCATTCTCCTTTTCTCGTGGTGTGATTTTAGCTGTTCAGGTCACGTCCCCAGTAGGAGTGTCTTGTGTGTTATGTGGTGTGAGGTGCTGGTCCTGGCACACTTTCTGCCAGAGTGCTCCCCATTTTCTTCAGAATTCCCTCAGCCATGGAACCACTTCCGCATCTGAGAGTCAGTGGATCAGAAGCCAAGGACAAGAGTGACCAGTGTAGGCCTGTTGTCCAAGGTACTGGGGCCTAGGACCGGCCCAGCCGAGAGCAGAGGAGCTCCTTCCGAGACTGGCTGCAGGTTTACGAATTCTCCGGTCGTACCACCTCTTGAGGACCTCGTACCCAAGAAGTTAGCGACCATGGTCTGTGGGCTTTAATCGGTCCTGCCCTCCATACTCCCCTCCTTGTGAAGGGTGATTCATCACAAAGCCGATCTCGGTCCTTAGGACTAGAGAAAGGAGATCTGGAAGGAGCCTCGGAACGCATCCTCCCTGGGAGGAGCAGGCAGCACTGGGCATCCCTTTCCTCATGTTCAGCTCACGGCTTTGTCCTGTGCCTGAAAGCTGTGATCCTGGATTGGAGGACTCCTGGTGCCATTGTGCTGGGCCAGAAGTGTCTAAAGCCGAAAGATCCCTCTCTGTTCTGTTTCTCAAACCCAGTGTCCCTCTCAGGGCCACTTGGACAAGGCAGTGGGTGGCTCCCTGCCTGGAGGTCTGAGGCTAGGCTGGGTGATCACTTCTTGTCAGTGTATAACGGAGATTCTCTCGGGCCATTGGTCCAGCCAGACGGTCACTGAGGTCCTTTCCAGTGCTCGGAGTCTGAGGACTAGAAAAGCTGTCCTTGTCTTCCCTGCTGAGCTGAGTGAGATGCGGTAGTATTGATCAGGGAAGGCTCAACACCTGATGTCGGCATATCTTCTGGCTTGGTTTCCCATTAGAATTCTCTCCTTTTGGTCCTGTTATACTTGAGATACATCCGTTTTTGTTCCCTCCTTTGCAGTCTTGCTTCTGAATTCAGAGTTCTTCCCAGTGTAGAACGCAGGTCCACCTGGCCCCTGTGGGGAGACAGGCAGAAGAGGAGGTCTTCCTGGAGAGGTTTGAGATATTTTCTCTCTCCTTGGTTTTTGACAAATCTTTAAAAAATTATTTTTTTTTTCTTAAGTTCCCATGTCCCACCAGGGACGTTATTCCTCTTGCACTTTGACTTAAAGATGATAAAGACACCAGAGTGATCAGATCACTAGTTTTTATTGTGTTGTGGCCCACTGAAGTGTTCCTGCTCACTTGATCAAGTGGGATTTTCCCTTCCACATCACCCTTGGCACCAGAAGACATCACTGCCACCCTGCTGCTGGTAGTGGAAACACTTCCTAAGATGATTTGTTCTGGAGTGACTGGTGGTCCCCTTGTGTTGACAACTTCTGCCAGTCGGTGGGCACAGTTATTAGACACAGGATTGGTGGAATGTCTAGTATTCCTGAGCACTTATAAAGTACCTGAGTTCATGCATAGGTGACTTACAAGTCAGTGACAGGTTTCTTTGCCATTAGTGTCCTCTGAATGCTGGAATGGGAGTCAGGAGGTGGTGATTTTTAAAGGTTACAGGTGCACAAAATATTTATAGTAGCTCTTTTTGTGGGGGTTAAGAATTGGAATTCGAGGGGATGCCCATCAGTTGGGGAATGGTTGAACAAGTTGTGGTATATGATTGTAATGGAATATTATTGTGCTATAAGAAATGATGAGCAGGCGGGTTTCAGAAAATACTGGGAGGACTTACGTGAACTGATACAAAGTAAAGTGAGCAGAACCAGGAGAACATTGTATGTGGTGTTCGATGAAGAATTGTGACTGACATAGCTCTTCTCAGCAATACAATGATCAAAGACAATCCCGAAGGACTCATGATGAAAAATGCTATCCGCCTCCAAGAACTGTTGTTATCTGAATACAGACTGTAGCATACTATTTTTCACTTCTTTTTTGTTCCAGTCTTCTTGTACAAAATGACTAATATGGAAATGTTTTACGTGATTGCCCACATATAACTTCTATTAGATTACTTACCATCTCAGGGAGGGAAGAAGTGAGGGAGAGAGGGATAGAATTTGGAACTCAGAACTTAAAAAAAAAAAAAAGACAAATGTTAAAAGCTGTTTTTACATGTAATTGTGAAAAAATAAAATATTATTTAAAAAAAGATTGCAGGTGCACCCCTGAAAGGCTGGTGAGCCAAGGGTGGCCTAGGACACTAGGAATGGGGGAAGCTAACTAGACATTTTCCACATGAGAACTCCATGGGTTAATGTGGGATTCCCAACCTCAGAGCGGGCTTGACTGTTGAAGCAGCTGGTGGATGTGGGTGTTTCCTCTTCTCCCTCTCGCCTGGTATGTTCTAGCCACACTGTGCCTGCCCTTCTTTAGTAAATGCTGTGGAGTAGCTCTGGCCACAGCTTAGAGATGGGACAGTTTCCACATTTCTTCCCCTTGAACAGGATTCATTTCATTTTCGGAGGTCCCATGAAAAGCCCTTCTCCCTTCCATACCCCAACTCCCCATCGTTATCTCAAGTGAGATAATATTTGTGAAGTACTTAGCCACCCAGTGCCTGGCACGTAGGAGGTGTTCTCTACGTACATCCTTCCTCCCCTCCCCATCCCAGTTGGAACTGCAGGTAAATACAATGGCCTCCGGAGCTTGTGCGTCCTGGTAGGCTGTGGTTCAGCACTCGGGGCTGGCTGGGTTGCCATCCGATGCTCAGCTGGATGGATGGTGTGGGCTTCATGATCGTCAGAGAGTGGGAAGCCAGGAGAAAAGCCCTTCAGGGTTGGCCCCATCTCGGCTGGGCTATTTGAGTGTTTAAAATGTTGTTTTTTGGGTAATAGCTGTGAAATCCAGTTAGGCAAGTGGTCATTGTTGGAGTTCATGCTTGGCCCTAGGCAGTGGGCGCCCTGAGCCAAGGCGGAGAGGGGAGAGGAGGCAGGTGGAGCCTTTCTGGGCTCAGTGACCATTGGTTCTCCCTGCACTTAGAGGTGACTCTGGTGCGTGGCGCCAGATCGATTTTGGGGAGACAGCTGGGCCTTTAGCTCACCATTCTCCCCCTTGGAGCAGCAGCCCAAGCTGACCTTTGGTTAAAGTTCATTATACTGCTCTTGGCATCAAATGAGGGAGTATATGTTGTGGATTTGTGTGAAGAGAAATGAGGATTCCTGGTGTCTAGTTACAGCTTTGCCACAGAACTGATGAACTTGGTTAAGTTATTTTTGTTAAGTGTTTGGTATGCCTGTAACTCACTTTACTTCTCTGTTCAATGGGTATCATCGTCCACCTCATGCAGATGGACAGATCCCTGGTGCTTACAGAGTACCTTGATTTAGGCACCTCTCGGTGCCAGAGTCTCTTTCTTCAGTTTTCTGTGAAGAGTCAAGGAAGCTTACTGTTGAAATTAGGCCAATTTAAAAATGTTAGGCCAGGCAAGAGTCATTTCCCTTCCATTTATTCTGTTTAGCTCTTCTGCAGTAATGCCATAGTTATGGCAAATAGGGAAGAAACACCAACATCTAAACGTACTTGGCTGGCTAAGTATTTATCTGAAGGGAAATTGTGAGTTAGTTCTGCCAGTTTCTGTGTCCTGCTGGCTCTCCCATCTCTGTACTGGCCTCTACGCTCTGCCCTTCTGTATCCCTCCCAGCTGTCCCTTTATGTATTCCTCACAGCTCTGCCCCTCTGTCTGCCCCCCCAACTCTCCCCATGCACTCCTCCCAGCTCTGCCCTTCTGTCCTGACCCCCCCACTCTCCTTTCCCTGACCCCCCCCAGCTTTTCCCATGCACTCCTCCCAGCTCTGTCCCTCTGTCTGCCCCCCCAGCTCTTGTTCCCCCTGCACTCCCCCCATTTTCTCCACTTGGCACTCCCTTTGGCTTCCCCCTCTGTGCTCCCCTACAGCTCTTCCTTTCTCTGCATCCCCCCCCTCTCCCCCTCTATCCCTCTACCCCACCCAGTGGCCTTTGGATCAGTGCGCTCAGTCTCATTCCAAGTGGCCAGGATATTTGGATTTTGTCTTTCATCCTTTTGGGGAGGTTTCCATAGTAATTGATTGTGACTCTTCCTGTGTCCTTTCCCCTTATCTTGGCCTTTGGTCTTAAACTCAGCCCATTTATCCTGTGGGCTCTGGTGTCTTCTTTCAGACCCTGGTGGCTTGGAGAGTGAGGTGGAGCCAGAAGGCACTGAAGCCCCTGACCAGTGAAGCTGCTTCAAGACAGGTGAGAAATGCAGATGTGGAGTTATGCTTAATCAGTAGTATCAGACTGATTTTCTTTTTGCTAAGGCTTGCTATGCTTTATTAAACTTAATCAAACTTGCTTCATTATAACTTCCTCATTCTTGTGAGCCTAAGCCACTGCTCCGGAAGACTTCCTTCTCTGTGAGTTTAAGGTTCCCTTTTTGTGTGAGTTAATTCTTCGTTTTGACTTAAGGAAAATTGAAGTTTTTTCGTATGATGCTAAAGTAAAATACGAGTCTAGTCAATAACTTACTAATCAATAAACTTGTGTAATGCTTAGCCAATCAGAGGAGTGTACTGTACTTTGACGAAGTTGAGATTGTCTGTCAAATAAAACCACCCAAAGCAAATGCAGCATTTACTGTCCAGTTCTGTCCAATGGGCTATGCCACCAACTTCCTAAAGGTCCCCCTTCTGTCCTGTGTTAGCCTTACCTTATGGTAAGGTACAACTTGTGGTTGCTATCCTCTGCACTGAACAACCAGAAATCAATAAACACCCATTACTCAAGATTTTGTAATTCACCTCAGTTGCTCTTTATTGATTACAAGAAAGCTCTTTGAAAACTCCACAGTGTTCTTGGCTGCTGAGGAATCCTGGACCCCATTTGTTGGTAGTTTGCTAATAAATTGCTTGTGCTGGGAACTTTGTTGCCTCAGTTTCTCAGTATCACAGATTTCTGTTGTGACAGTTGGCGAGCCAGCCAGGAGGTTGAGTGATTAGATTCTGGCCCTGTGGCACCCCTCTCTGAGGAGCCTCCTAGAGTGCTCTGGTAAAGACTTTTCACCAAGGGACTTCTCTGGGGAGAACCGCCCCAGAGGTCAGACTGCCCCTTAGCTTCAATCCACATTCATCCAAGCCAAGCTCAGCCTTGAACAGGAGAATCGTACCATCGTGAAGGGGGATAATTATCGTATGTTGAGTAATTTCTCCTTTAGGCAAGAGAATCCCTCTCCCAGATAGAGCTGTCTTTGCTGCTAGAAGGAGGAGGAGAATTATCTGTCCAGCCAATAAGAGATCCCTCTTACAAATATGGAGGAAGATCTTTGACAATGAGGCCTTGAAACTGATTTGTGATTCTTTAAATTGAAGTTGTGCACATTGACTTTTGAAAATGAAAGCAAAGCTCAGATAATAGAGATGTTGAAATAAAATTTCTAATATCAAGTGACTTCCTTTTTTTAAATTCTCAAGGCTACAATCTAGTCTCAGATAAATATCCCAATATTCCCTTGACAGGTTTTTGGGTTTTTTGGCAAGGGCAGGATCCCATTATTATTTCACTTGGGCAAAGAGTCTGCAAGGGCAGGGTGTCAGTGCAGCTCTCCCGGCTAGCAGGGACTTGACTCTCGCCAAACTTCAGTGGGGGTTAGGGAGGAGCACTGCCAGTGAGGACACAATTCCCTTGGCAGGAGTTGTGAGGAAATTCTCCTGGGTGCTCCTCCTGAGGAAGCTCTTTTGCCGGGGAGAAGCACCTTTGGGGGTATCTCAGGGGAGCAGTTGGGTGGGGTAGTAACATTCCAAAGGATACGTCCCTGGAAAAGTTCCTGATATCTTGGAACCCGGGGAAACTCCCGGTTCAACACGGCATGACCAAACAACATGCCATCACATTATGTGAGATTTGGTCTAAGACTGCAAGAGATTCAGCTGATGAATTATTTTGGCCTAAATTTGGCAGTTTTGCTTACTGTGCTTTGACGAAGTTGAGATTGTCTGTCAAATAAAACCACCCAAAGCAAATGCAGCATTTACTGGCCAGTTCTGTCCAATGGGTGATGGCGCCAACTTCTAAAGGTCCCCCTTCTGTCCTGCTGTCTTCTCCTTCTGTTCCTCCGTCTTACTCTCTTTCTCCCATAGTAAGGAACTTAACTTCTTTGGAGCAAGAGTGACTGGCTACCTGTGTCTTTCCCCTCCAGGAAATATTGGTACATGATGTCACCCAGCTTGGAAATATGGTGTTCCAAGGCTGTCCCCTGGCCTCTCCACATGGAGACTGGATGACGCTCCTGTGGCAGTCATAACTCCATCTAAGCCATATTTAGAGGGCACAACTCAGTCTGGGGAGGTGTCACTGAGTGAGTGGAAACCTTGCTCTTCCCAGGAAAAAGGGCTGCCATGAGAGGAGTGGCTTAGAGACAAGGCCCAGTCGGCACTGCTCCTGCTAGCTCAGGAGGCCTTTATAATTTACCTTTCAAGACCCCCATTGGAACCCTGACAATCCAGCCATTGCACCAGGCTGTTAGAAGGTAGCGAATCCTTAATCCAGGGAATGGAAGCATGTGCCATCCATCCTGATAACTGGAGCACATTTCAGGAAATTGTTCAGAAAGAGAAGGCAGCCCCTCGCCATCGTTATGATTGGCTGTGCAAGAGCACTGAGTGTCATGCAGGGTTGGATCTGCTTAGGCTGGTAACGTGGCCTTTGTTAGCCAGTCTGTCCTAGAAATTCAGAATGCTTTCACAAAAGCTTCCACCTGGCCTGAGACAGGTATAGGCGAGCCTAAAGGCATCACCCTCTGTGTGTGTGAAGGGAAAGGCAAAGAAAAGGAGAAAGAAAACCCAAGCCAAAAACTTGGACAGTCGTGGCCCGGATTGCTCCAGCTCCCCTTTGTGCTCTGCTGGGAAGCCAGAGAATATGGGAAGGTTTTCACTGTCACCAAAAGACTCATTTTGCCAGTTAGTGCAAGAATGCAAACAAGAGAAACCCAGGGAAGCCAAAAGACACCTGCAGCATAAAGGGCATGTGTGGGGCGGGGACAGGCACCCTCAGTACTGAAAAAGGTCCTTGTTTCCTCATCCCGATGTCCTTGCACCCACTGCCCCAGTCTTTGCCTCTCCTCACACGATGAGCCTTCACCTCCTGAGCCTCAGTACCCGTACTGCCCTGGATGGACGCACGGAAGCCCCGCTGTTGGCCCCGCCTGGGGACCCCCAGGTGCCAGAGAGCCCTTCTCTCGTTCATGAGCGCATGGGCGTGGCCTCCAGCGTCCTGCAGCAAACGTTCCTATCCTCTCCTCACCCAGGAGCACATCATTCTGCTGAGCTCATTACTGTGGCTGCCTCTGGGCTCTGGTCTGTTTAGTGGAAAAGGCTTCATGATTCATTTGGGGCGCCCCTCAAACGGTCTCTTGCCACCAAGAGGTTCAGGCTCTCTTACTTTGCCATGGAACTCTAGCCTTTTCTGATCAGAGACTTCCTAGGCATGAAGTGGCTTTGCTAGGGAAAAGAGAAGTGATGCTACCCTCACTCTGGCCACCTGGCTCCCTGGTCTACACTCTCTGGGTGGCCACTGCATGACTGCCGCCGTAGTGGACGTGGCTGAAAAACCCTGCTGTGACCTCTCTGGTACCCTGATCATGTTCTGAATACCGATGGTCCTTTTTCATAAGGGATGGCATCTGGTGCTCAGGTACTGCTGTTGTCTTCAACCGTGACACTGTCTGGGCAGCCTCTTTGCTTTCTCCTCTCAGCAGCCAAGCGGCTAAGCTAATTGCACTCACAGAAGTGCATTGTTGTGCCGATGGCCACAGTGCAACCGTCTACACCGACTCGCGCTATGCATTTGGTGCCTGTCACATGGTTGGGATGTGATGGCCTCAAAAAGGCTTTCTGACGTCTAATGGCAAAGTCATGACACATGCAAACTTCATCAGGGAACTTGTAGCTGCATTGGCCGTTGTCCACTGTTCAGCTCACGCTGATGGGACTGATTCTGTCTTGTGAGGGGTTGCTGAGCAGATGCTATTGCCGAGCTTGCTACCCCAGGAGGTCCTCAGTATATTTTTCATCTCTCCCTTTCCACCGAAGATGATTTCAGTCTCATCTACAGCAACCCAGAGGTCAAGGAGTAGAAACAGTAGTTTAAGGCAGAGCAGGCAGATGGGGTCTGGGTAATTACGGAAGCCAAACTGCTCCTGTCCTGGAGCTTCTATCACCAGTTATGTCCTTCTGTTCATGGGGGTGCCATTTTGGGACTCAAGGAATAGCCGATACAAAATGGTGGGCACGTGGGCCCCGGGTATTCCCATAGTTGTATTTTGAATCACTTCTGCCCTTCCCACTTGTCAAGCATGTAACCACTGCCTTTTGTGGTCGCCCTTTGAACATCTGTACGTTTACTTCGTGGGCGTGCCAAAGTCAGGCCATTGGAAAGCTTGCCTTGTTAGTGTAGATGGACTCACTCGGTGGGCAGAAGCATTGCCCAGTTCCAAAACCACTGCTGCTTTTGTTGCAGAAACACTTGTCAAGGTGATTGCCCCGCTGCAGTCCAGTGGTAGGCGTCAATGGAGACAGGGCCTCATTTTGCTGATTCTGTTCTTTCCCAATCTGTTCTCCTCCTCAGTTCCATCCCCTCCCCCATCTGAGGAGCTCTGGTCAGGTTGAACGTATGAATAAGGAGCTTAGAACCATGACTGGCAGATTGTGCTCTGAAGCCACTGGAGGAGGCCAGGTGTTCTTCCAGCTTTGCGTCATTGGCGCAGCAGACCAAGGCAGGGGTGACACATCTCCCCTTCTGGAATACGTTTTGGGCCGTTCTCCCCTCATTGAAGCAAAGCCTTTGTCTCCAGCTTCTGTATCCCTGCATTGCTTCTTACATATGGAAACTACCAAACAGACTGCAGACCCTTCACAAGGCAAGAGTGTCCAGGCAGGCTGGACCTTGCCGCTTCTCACGGATCTGGTTTTTACCTTGGTAAGAAGGTCTGTGTCAAGAAGACCAGTGGAACTCGGCCATCCTGGGAAGGCCCCTTCTGGACGCTGCTCGCTACGCTGACTGCAGGCAAGGTTGGAGAAAGGGCCTCCTGGATACTCTGCTGTCATGTAAAGGCCACCCCTCCATCACTGCCCCGTGCCCCAATAAAGCAGGGTTGGTACAGGTCGGTTTAGTCTGGCTCTTGCTCCAGGTGGCCTTCCACGCCACCGTCACCTCGTAGGCACAGAAGAAGACTCACATGCCACGCAAACCAAAAGGAACTA